TTGGTGCACCTTGATCGAGTAATCACAATGTGTTGAATCTTCTTGCATGCTTGTATATGCATTGTCCGGTGACTTGATAGCAAGCTAGATTCGTTAAGTGAGTGATCTTGTGTTGGTCATGATGCTTTAACGAGCAATGTGAGTTATTGCATTGAGATTAACACAAGTATGACTGTGCTAAAATTTTAAGAAATTTAAAGTATGTCACCTTACATATTGTAGTCTCACATTTAAAAGCCTAATTTTTTTTCAAAACTTCACAATTAGCGAAACTAGGTCATATGCAAGACCAACTCTTTTAAAATATTTTTAGGTGATGTACATTAGACCTCTTAGATGCTTAGGATGGGATCGGAATCAGTGACCATGCCAAAGTCTTATGGGATTCTTGACCCGTATATCTTTGCTCACACTTAGATGTTGTGACTCTCATGTTATTCGATAGATGGTGTGTTAGGCTGGGATTAGGGTGCTTGGGTAATCTTTTTGATATCCTAGCTATTGTTCTCTATTGGTTTGGTTACCCTAGTCAGACATCTTTTTTTGTTGTTTTTGTGTGTTTATTGGGTGTGAGACATGCACACTAGATATTAGGGGTGGTTTTCTATGTACGAAGTCATGTTTAAACACAAATAAAGAGGGATGAGCAAGTAATGATTTAGAAGCTAATATTTTTTGGAGGTGTTGCAAAGTTCTCCTCGCGCCAGTCATAGCTCTTATGTGTTGCATGATATAACTCATGCCAACTCTTCTGTAGGTTGAGTCCTTTTTTTTTTTATTTTGTCATGTATTTAACGAGTCCTTAGGATCCAGTCTGTATCAGAAAAAAGGTACGGGCACAGGTTTTGAGGCGCATGACACACCGAACCATGTGATAAGAAACATTAGCAATTGCTTGTGTCTCGTACATTAATTTCAAATTTATATTCATGTATAAAATTAGGATCAGACATGTATATGTAGAGTCCGACCGTCTTTCCTGCTTTTCTAAGATATGTTGTCGACCTAGCGACACTAGTATATTATATTTTTTTAGTTTTGCTTGATTTACTTAATGCAGTCTGCTTGCAATTTACTCTTTTTTGGCTTGTGATTTATTTGGGCTCTTACAAATGTGCAATCGAGGTTCATTAAGGACCCGAAAAATATAATTTTTCAAAAATCTTAATAATAAAATATTTAAGATAAATCAAAATTTAGGATTAAATTTTTTTTATTGTTTAAAAACCTGCACTTTACTTTCATGCATAGCCCTCGGATCGGTTTTAAAGTTGCTGCACTGGATGGCTATATCCCAAACCATCCCTAATAGTGGCTCCACATTAAAATTTAATTGCAAATAACTGCATCATATTGCATGTCCTAAGGAGGAGTCTCTGTGCTTCTTCAATTGACTTGACCAAGCATAAATTTCTTCATAGGAGGTTATCTTATACGACTAGGATGTTAGAGGCTTCCCAACCCATACAGGGGCATAAGTCTTTTGTAGGGTGGTTTTAGCTTTGTAGTTGGACCCCCTTTCTTCCTGCTTTCCAACGACATCTCTATCATTTGATTGACGGGTATAAGTCCCGCCTTCTTCAAAATATACCTCTTAGAATATCATAGAAACTGGAGTTTCATTCTTTTAACCTTAAGGTTAACGAGATCTCCTTGGACATGTAATACATGGATTGCTCACAAGAGCTCGCTAGTCGGGTTGGTCGATTACCTTCATGACCAGGTAGACTTAGGGTCTTCATAGCTTGGGATGACAGATTCATAGTATCATGACCTGGCTACCTCTACCTGCTTAGGGGTTCCTCCTCTTTTTTTTTTGACACCTCCTTTGAGCTCTGTCGATTCCCTTAAGATATCGTTGATATTGTCTCGTGGACCCTGCATGCCTAGTTGTCATCGCCCATAGTGGATACGATGATTCTCCATTTGCCCTATGACTCGTTATAAACATCGAAAGCATCAGGATTCTCTCACTCGAGATGATTAAAATCCTTTTGGTTTCTTAAATAACTGAGTATCATAGATTATGTAAGCAAGACTCTTTTTATCGAGAGTATTATTGGGCATCCCCCAATATTTAATTAACCAAAGAAATATGTACCTTTAGGAGTAGTATTGAAGTAGAAAAAGCACAAAAACTTAATTCTTTGGTTGTGGGTTCCTTTCATTTTCGCAGAAATATTTCCAAGGCATTTCAGTCTAATTTCGTTCGGGTGTACGCTCTTGGGATATCATGTGAATGTTACCTTATGAATGTTCTCTACATTATTTTTAAATTTGTTTGTCTATTTCTTCATTTTTTTTTTATTTTCGGTTCCTCTCTTATTGGATTCATCTTCATGATTCAAAAGAGAGATTTTTTCGTAAGTAAAATTATACGATGACAATAAGACAAGCTGGTGACTTCAAGGGTACAAAAAGAACAAAAACAAACTTGAAGTGACTATTTAAGTGAATGCAAACTGGTTTTGCCTCATTCTTTGATTTCTCCATATATGTCACTACAATCGGCATGTCGTCTACATACAAAAGAAGTAAGATATTATTGAAGTGTTTGATGAAACAACAGTGATATGCATAACACTTCATGCACCCATTATCTCACAAAAATCTGTCAAGTCTTATGTTCCATTATCTCTGGGCCTGTGACAAGCCATGTAGGTTTTTCATCAACCTACAAACCAAACATTCTTTCTTTGAAACCTTATAGCCCTAGGGTTGCACCAAGTATAATTCCTCTTCCATATCTCTCTATAAGAAAGTTATTTTTACATCAATTTGCTCTAGATTTCGATCTTCATCTGCTACCAAACTCAGCACAACTCTAACAATTGTCATATTCATCACCGAAGAAAAAATTTGTGTAATCAACTCCTTCCATCAACTGGAGCCCTTCACAACAAGTATTGCTTTGTAGCATCTACTATCATCTAACTCCTCTTTGAGCTTGTAGATCCACTTGTTGTGCAATATTCTTTTGTCAACTTGTAATTTTAGTAAACTTCATGTCATATTTGACTCCAAAGACTGCATTTTTTCATCCAAGACAAGGTCTCACTCTCTTGAATCTTAAGCTTAAGTGATCTCTTGAAAGCACTTTGATTCATCGTTATCACTTGGAAATAGGGGTGTAAAAGAGAAGAACACGAGCGAGCTCAGGCTCAGCTCTTGTTTGGCTCGTCCATATTTTGAACTCAAAAAGTGTGATCGTGTTCGGCTTGTTTGCTTAGCGAGTCGAACATGAGTTGTTCACGAACAAAGAGTCGTTTTGACAACCCTAATCACATAACCATAAGATGTTAAATGTTGGGGTAAGATTTAAAAATTATTGTTTATATTAAAACAACATTTGAATCAAATTTAACACTATTTCGAGCCAAAACTAGCCGAACATGAACAAACAAATCTTTGTTAATGTTTGGCTCATTAACTTAGCGAACGAGTCGAACACGAGCTCCTTAATGAGTCGAACACGAGTTGTTCGCGAACAACGAGCTGTTTTGACAGCCCTAATTGGCAACAAATAATGTGACTTCAACAGTAGATGATTGAGAAACTTTTTATGCTCCACCTTGTTCAGCACTTCATTATTCTCCAGTCTTCTGATCACCAGTATCTTCTATCTCAACATACTTTGAACATTCAGAAGTAACTAATGGATTATCCTGAGTTCTGACTCTACCCTTATAAATCTCAATTTCATTAAATATAATAATACTTCTCCTAATAAATTTTTGATTCTGAAAGTCCTAGAACTTGTATCCTAACTCATCAAGTCATATACAATAAAGATGCACTTGATAGATTTTGAGTCAAGTTTTCTTCTAGACTCTGCATCAACATATACATACGCAATACACCCAAATGCTTTTACATGAGAAAGATTTTATCTCCATGATACTCCATGCTTCTTCAAGTAAACATTCATTCAAATGTACTCCAAGATTAATCAGATAAACTACAGTGTTTACTGTTTTAATCCGAAAACTATTTTGACAAGCCTAAATGTAGTCTCATACTCCTAATATGCTTCATGATTGTTTTAGCGCAGGTGATCGACCACTTAATTGCATTCCACCATTTTCCTGTTGAATAACTTCTTTAAGATTATTAATTAGAGCTCTAAAGTTCTATAAATCTCCAATATCTCTTTAGTTTCTCATAGTATTCTTTTTCTTGTTAAGAGTTGATTATATTTATATTTTTTTAGAGTTTCAATTCGATAAATCTAGTCGAAATTCAAAACACTGTATTGTATGGCTTATATAAATTTTTAATCATTAATTATTTTCTCAACATTTAAATACTCTAATAATCTTAGAACTAAATGATCTTAGACTCATTAGATTCTTCTCATCTGTTAAGCAATCCAATTATAAATGTATAATACTTAAAAAATATTTGATTTTTGAGTTAATATCGCGATATTTTCGAATCGTACTTCAAATATTTGATATAGACTTATTTAAATTGGAACGAAATAATATTTGACACTCTCGGTTTTAATTTGATTATAAATTTATTAAATTGGAAGAATCCATGCTTTTGAATTTGAGTAAAAAGAAGAGAATAAATAAAAATGCATCATGGTTGATATTTGATGGGAAGTTTGTATGAAGAAATATCAATTACTAATTATCTAACAAGGTTTTATGAATTAGAAAGAAATTCCTCGTAAGTAAATTCTCAGGTCCTCTTTGCAGCAGCAGAGCAGCAGCAGCAGCTTTGTGTTGATGTTGTAGCTCTACGATTACAGAGGTTTATTATAGGGTTTTAAGTGCCTTAATAAACGCATGGAGTGATGAGGAAATAAGGGAAAAGCCAAAGTCATTGTCTTCCTTTCTCCTATCACAGATCCCTAAGGATTTCAGGAGTGGCGTAGCAGTAGTAGTATCAATGTTTCAATCCTCTGTAGCTTGGGAGATAAAGCTCATTCTTTTTGCGTTGTTTAAGGGCCCGTCTTTCAGCTCTTCTCCCCACTTCTCCTGCTTTCCATTATCCCCCCTGAAACAGTGAGAAGTTTTGGGGCATTGAGTTTCTTCAGCTTGAGAACACAGAAACCCAGGCTTCAAGTAAAGATGGAGTAGAGTGTAGGTTGCATAATGAGGTTCAGTACTCACCAATGATTGAACTCCCCTGAGCTTAATCTGTGTATGTGTGGAAGATGAAGCCCATGAACAATAACAACTGGTTGGGTTTCTCTCTCTCCCCTCAGCTCGGAATGGAAGTTGCATCAGATCCCCTTAAGCATGCAAATCCTCAAACTGCACATCAGTCTTCCCCTGCTTCTGCTTCCACTTTTGTTCCCAGCAACTTCCTTCTATCCTATCCACATTTTAGCAGCCCTGGCATTTGCTATGGAGCTGATGCGGAGAATGTTGGGTTTTACTCTCAGCTCTCATCAGTCATGCCGGTTAAGTCTGATGGCTCTCTCTGTATTATGGAAGCCTTCAGCAGATCACAAGAAGGTCAGCCTCTCTCTCTCTCCCTCGTCATGTTTATCTTCTTTCTACTTCCCTCTTCCTTTCTAAATTCTCCTCCTCTTTTTCCTTCTTCTCTTACTCATTTTGGTGAAGGAATGGTGCCATCTCCTTCCCCAAAACTGGAAGACTTCTTGGGCTGTGGTCCAAACATGGGGACCCATCAGTATAGCAACAGTGACAGGGGAGCAATGGCTCTAAGCTTGGACAGTATGTATTATGGACAAAACATAGAGCAGGAGAGCAATGAAAACCATTCTCTTGAGCTCTTTCAACAACCTTTTAGACAACAGAACTACTTCCAGCCATTGCACGAGATGTATCAGGAGTCATTAGTTGGGGACCAAATCCCTGATTGTAGATTTCAAAGCAACGAAAGAGTAGGTGATGCAAGAGAGATGGGTTTTGGCTCTCTTGGATTACTGAGGCATGGCGATCTCAAGCCCTTGAGCTTGTCCATGAGCCCTGGATCTCAGTCTAGCTGCGTAACTGCTCCGCAGCAGCAGATCGCTTCTGCTCCAGAAAATGAGCATTTTTCTTTGGAGCATTCGAAGAAGAGAGTTAGTGAAAAAGGAGCTGAGAAGCAGCCAGTTCACAGGAAGTCCATTGATACATTTGGCCAGAGAACTTCGCAATACAGAGGAGTAACAAGGTATTACATTCTAAATCTTACTTAGAGCATGCAAAACACTTTTTTCATTATTAAATGTGTGTTTTTTCTTTTTCTTATGTGATGATACAGGCATAGATGGACAGGTAGATATGAAGCACATCTATGGGATAACAGCTGCAAGAAAGAAGGGCAAACAAGGAAGGGAAGGCAAGGTTAGTTTGGCAAAAAAAATCTTTGTTTGAACCCTCATAGTCTTTTATTTTAATTTCCTTTATTATTAATATTATTATTATTATTATTATTACTTTTACCTAACTTTGTTGCCTTGTCATGTTCTTTCCTTGGGATACCATGAAACAAAATACTTCAACAATAGTTTATTTGGGTAATGCATCTACTTCCTTTAACAGAAAAAAATTATTTCTTTCCTAGTTTGAGATTTTCAGTACCTTTTCATAAATTCTCTTCTTCAATTCTCAAACTCGTACTCTTTGCATCTAATAAACAACAGGGGGCTATGATATGGAAGAGAAAGCTGCAAGAGCCTATGACTTGGCTGCATTGAAGTACTGGGGACCTGCCACCCACATCAACTTCCCTGTATGATATATTTTCTACTCTATTTTCTGTAATGCTTTTCTCAATATGTGAAACTGTGGATTTGTTTATTGTAGCTGGAGGATTACCAGGAGGAGCTTCTACAAATGAAGAACATGAGCAGGCAGGAATATGTTGCTCACTTAAGGAGGTGACCAAATTTCTTTATGACAATAATAAATCATTAATGTTCATTATTATATTATGTTTTGAATTCTTCCAACCATTCTTGCAGGAAAAGTAGTGGATTTTCTAGAGGAGCTTCTATATATCGAGGAGTCACTAGGTTTTTCATTGCTTTATGTTCCTTTTTATTCATTGATTTCATCATTTTGTTTACTTAGAAGTCTTCATTATGTCATCATGCAGGCATCACCAACATGGAAGATGGCAGGCTCGCATAGGAAGAGTCTCAGGAAACAAAGATCTTTATCTTGGAACCTTTGGTTAGCTTATATAATCCTTTCCATCCTTTACACTCATTATAATTCATTAAAATGCTTGATATTATGTTATTTTTAGCTTGTTATAAAACGTTTCAATATTTTACACATGCATTCAAAAAGAACATTCAGAATATAAGCCATTTCAGGCTTACCTGCTGCTTTTGCGAGTATGAATTGCACTTTCTTTATTTCTTTATTTCTTTATCAGACAGTACATTTTCCTTTTCTTAAGGCTGATTCTTCTGTGTGTCTCCAAAATCTTTGTTTGAATAATCTACCATATTCATATTAATTTATTGTTTAGGAAGATTCGCATACATACCAGCACTCAATTCCTATGTATTTGCATATCTGACTCCTAAACTTCAATTTTTACATGCATGCCCAACTTATCTATGCATGAAAAGGTACATTTCACTTTTTTAAGAAAATAGTGGTAGCTTGAATCTAAAAATTTTAATTCCAGGCACACAAGAAGAAGCAGCTGAAGCTTATGACATTGCTGCAATAAAATTTCGTGGCACAAATGCCGTCACTAACTTCATTATGTCAAGATATGATGTTGAAAAGATTATGGCGAGTAGCACCCTACTGTCTGGCGAACTTGCTCGAAGAAATGGAGGTGTTGAAATTTTCGACAACGTAGCGTTGACAGGACATGGCACCAGAGAACTCGACTCAACCGAAGACAATGTGAATGCGTCGGACTGGAGAATGACGCTCTACCAATCTCCACCGCCGGCTCCGGCGAACTTGGAACCGCTCGACCACCAATCTATATCAGCTAATGGAAATCATCAAAACAGCTCATTTTTGGCAAATTTTAATGGTTTTCTTGGGATGGAAAGTTGGGCATCAAACCAGCTTAGTAGTTCAGTAGCTTTGGCTCAAACACCGGTTTATGCTGCATGGAATGATGGCTGAATCTTAATTTCTTATGTTGAGAGCATGCGATGAGTGAAGGTGGAGGTGAAAAAGAGAAGTTTTGGGGTGGGGGGATAGGTTTGTGTATTGTGGGGAAAAAGATGGGAGGAATCAGGCCTCTTCTGCTTTTTTCCAGTGGTTTCAAATTTTGGTAGTTCTGCTTTTGAGCCATGTGGGGAAATGATGTTACAGAGTGGGGGCCTCTTAAGAGGGGGGATATATTTAGCTCTCTGTTTTTTTTTTTTTCTTTGTTTGTTGTAATTTCTTGGCCAGTTTTCTTCGTTAATGCTCACTAATTCTTAGTGCTGATTGATTGGTTTCAATAGAAGTTTTTTAAGTTATACTTTGTTGATCATTAGAGAACTATTTACTTTTCTTGTTTGAGAATTTTTTTTTATTCTTTTTTATTTTTTTGTGCTTTAGTTGCAGAACATTGTGAATGATTATGCAAGGCTTGATCAATGGATTTCTGCTAGTTTTTTGTTTTTTTTAAAGAATGTCATTTTATAAATTTGTGCTGCAAATGTGCTTATGATTTGATGGGCATATTGGTATTTGAGTTCAAGAGCAATATAAGAATTGATAGGTCATTAACAAATTTTTATTATGTTGCAAAAATCTCTAGCAGCTTCTAAGTACAACCAATGTTATGAACTATGGCCTACTACTGTAACTTCTAATTATAGTCTATGTGGTCAATTAACGCTACTGCAGCTACCAACTATGACATATATTATCAACTACAACTTATGTGGATAACGGATTATAATTTATGTGACCGACCACGACTTATGTTACAAGTTGCTACTGTAACTTTCTAATACTACCTCTATGATCAACAAACGCTCTTACAGCTACCTGTTGTGATATATTGAAATAGAACAATCGACGACAAAGTGAAAATAGAACGAGAAAAAATTCACACCAAAAGAATACAGATTTATGCGGTTCGACAAATTGCCTACATCCACGAAGTTGCGGGGGATTTTACTAATTGAGAAATTTACACTGTTTAATCACAACGACAATTATAGGAGAAAGTCTCTCACTTTCTCACTCTCTTCTCTCTCTACATCGAGATACACCGAAAAAGAAGAAAAACGTACAAGAGTAAAAAACTATTTCTCTTCTGCCACAAGCCACCAAGAAGAAATAAAGGAGAGCAATCTTCTTCCACAATTTTTTCCTTCCTTCTGCCAAGTACGCAGAAATAACTATGAGAGAGCACCTTGTGAAAAAAAACCGGAGATTCCTTCTGCAAAGCACACCGAAGCCGCGAAAAAATGCCTCTTGGTTATCTTTCACCTGTAGTAGTTGATCACACTGAGAGGAGGCTACTATTCACGATTCAAAGGAGCAGGGGGCTTTGATTTGCCAAAAAGGTAGAGAGAAGTCAGAGCTGTTTTTCGGTTCGCGAAAATGGGAGATACGACAATCGAGAATGAGAGCAGGAGCAGGTATACATGCGTTTTTTTTTTATACCGGACGAGCTCCACACTTAATAAATCTCCCACTTGGAGACTGGTATATAGACTACGTCTTCTTCCTCAAACTAATATCCTCCACTGGCGGTGTCGCCATTTTCTTCAAACGTGTTACCCTTCACCTCTGCAACTCAAGACCCATGTCTTCACACCAGAAGACCAACTGAAGCTGCGCACAACTTCAGTTTCTCCAAAGTAACACCATTTGTCAACATATCAGCAGGGTTCTGGCTTCCACAAATTTTCTCAAGCAATAATTGTCTGTCATCCAACAATGACCGTACGAAGTGATACCTGATCTGAATGTGCTTTGTCCTAGACAGAAATGTTGGATTCCTAGCAATGAATATGACACTCTGACTATCACTGTAGAGAATGTCCTTCTGATTCTTCTTGCCCAATTCCTCTAAGAAGCACTGTAGCCATATCATCTCCTTTGCAGCCTCTGCCACTGTTATATACTCAGCTTCTATAGTAGACAACGAAACCGTCTGCTGCAGATTAGAGCCCCATGATATTGCAGTGTCACCAACAGTATAAATATAACATGTAGTACTTCTTCTTGTATCAATGTCTCCAGCTAGATCAGCACCAACATATACTTGTACCTCTGAACTCTTTCCTGAGAAACACAAGCAAGTTTCTGAAGAACCTCTTAGGTATCTCAAGATCCACTTCACTGCTTCCAAATGTTTCTTTCCTGGATTACTCATGTATCTGCTAATAACTCCCACTGCATGGGCAAAATCAGGTCTAGTGCATACCATAACATACATAAGTGAACCAATAGCAGAAGCATAAGGAACCTTACTCATGTGATCTTGTTCCTCCTCTAACTTGGGTGACTAGTTTTTGCTGAGTCTGAAGTGACTTCCCAAGGGTGTGCCAACTGGTTTGGCCTTATCCATGTTGAACCTGCTAAGTACCTTTTTCACATACTCAGCCTCAGAGAGTTTCAACATGCCTCTAACTTTCTCTTTGACAATTCTCATACCAAGGATTTATTTTTCCACTCCCAAATCCTTCATTGCAAAGTGCTTTGACATCTGCTCCTTCAGATTATTGATCTCCTCAATACTAGCACCTGCAATAAGCATATCATCCACATACAACAGTAGGATGATATAGGAATTGTCAAAATACCTGACATAGCAACAGTGATCTTCCTGACATCTGTCGTACCCTGCACTGTGTATGAAATTTCTTGTACCACTGTCTAGGAGCTTGCTTCAGGCCATACAAGTTCTTCTTCAATCTGCAAATTGACTCTTCCTTTTCATGTACCATGAACCGTTCAGGTTGGTGCATGTAGATGTCTTCTTCAAGATCTCTATGAAGAAAGATTGTCTTCACATCTAACTGCTCAAGAAAGAGATCTTCAGTAGCCACCATAGACAGTACCATTCTGCTGGTTGTAAGCTTCACCATAGAAGAGAAAATCTCAAAATAATTAATATCATGCTTTTGCTGAAAACGTTTTACGACAAGTCTAGCCTTGTACCTCTTACAACCATTGTGCTCAGTCTTCACCTGGTACACCCACTTGTTGTGTAATGTCTTCTTCTCAGATGAAAGTTTTGTCAACTCACAAGTCTGATTTTCTAACAGAGAATCCATCTCCTCCTTCATGGCAAGCTCCCACTTGCTCGAATTTTCATCTTGTAAGGTTTCTTCATAACTATGAGGTTCTCCACCTTCTGTCAGCAGTATGTAGTTTAAAGTTGGAGAACAACGCTGTGGAGAACGTCTAGCCCTTTCTGACTTGTGAATTCTAACTGAAGGGATGGAATGCTCTAAAACTGACCGTGGAACAATAAAATTGGATGCCCCGGATCCACTCTCTTCGTCACCTGCATCTCTGCCTTGCACAGTGACCTCTGGTAAATCATCAAACATTACCAAGTCAGATTCCTTCAGTGTTGTTTCAGAAACTGTACTAGACTTGTCCTTATACATAACCTTCTCATTGAAATTCACGTTCATGCTTCTTATAATCTTCCGATCATGATCATCCCAGAAATGATATCCAAATTCTTCATCTCCATAGCCAATGAAATAACACTTCCTTAACTTAGCCTCAAGCTTACTTCGAGCATCAAGATTAACGAGAATATAAGAAACACATCCAAAAGTCTTAAGGTGAGAAAATTTGACCTTTTTCCCACTCGAAACTTCTTTAGTTAATTCACATTTTAATAGAACAGATGACCCCCTATTGATCAAATAAATTGCAGTACTAACCGCTTCTGCCCATAAAGTAGGTGGTAGTTCGGTGTGCAATCTCATGTTTCTAGCCCGCTCATTAATGGTTTTGTTCATGCGCTCTGCAACACCATTTTGTTGTGGTGTCCTTAAAGTAGTCTTCTCCATTATGATTCCTTGAGCTGCACAGTACTCCTTGAAACCACAATTAATGTATTCACCACCATTATCAGACCTCAGACATTTTAGCTTTAAGTCTGTATCTGTCTCAACCATGGTCTTCCAAGTCTTGAACACACTGAATACATCAGATTTATACTTCAAGAAATAAACTCATACCTTTCTGCTATGATCATCAATGAATATGATGTAGTAACGAGAGTCTCTAAGAGATGCCACTGGAGAAGGTCCCCACACATCTGTGTGTACAAGATCTAGCTTTCCTGCCTTTGGTGTCCTGCCCCACCTTTCAAGAAACTGACCTTCCTCTGACATTCCTCTGCTTCCCTATAATGCAACTCTCAAATATGCTGAGATCAGCTGACTTCAGTTCTAGTAGCTTACCTCTGGACTGAAGTTTTTTCATACCTCTCTGACTCATGTGGCCAAGTCTGCAATGCCACAACTCTGTTGTGCTCTCTGCAACAGTAGTATCAACACTATTAATTAAACCAGTAGTCATATATAGCGTACTTGTTTTCTTACCTCGATTCAGTACCATTGCTCCTTTAGTAACCTTCCAGGTGCTATCTGAGGACACTATTGAATGTCCACACTCATCAAGCTACCCAACAGAAATGAGGTTCTTCTTAAGTTCAGTTCAGGAAGGTGTTTGACCTTTTGCAGAGTCCAATTGTTCTTGTTTGGAAGTGCAATGTCAATCAATGTCAATATCTTGCAATGTCAATATCTCTCATTCCTACCACATTTAGAGCTTCTACATCTGCCAGATATACTTTCCCAAAGTCACCTGCAACATAATTTTGCATAAATTTCTGATGGAAAGTTGCATAGAAAGAAGCTCCTGAATCCAATATCTAATCATCAACAGGACTATGAACTGTCAGCAGTAGTGCATCCTGTGTTTCTTCAATTACCACATTTGCACTGTCATTCTTCGTTTTCTTAGGATTCTTGTAGTTCCTTATTATGTGATCAGTTTTGCCACAATTCCAGCAAGCTACTTGTTTATCAGGTCTTGAATTGCTCATGCTTCTGTTCTTTGATTTTGATCTTCCCCTGTTAGAGTTCCTTTTCTGTGATATCCCTTTGGAATCAACATTTAGTGTCGAACTCAAACCTGAGATTTCACCAGAATATTTCATGCGCACCTCCTTAGCCAAAATCAAATCACGAATATTTTATATTTCAACTTTGATTTACCTGCAGAATTACTGACAGCCATTCCCATAGCTTCTCAGCTATTTGACAATGAAGCCAACAAGATCAGTGCACGTATCTCATCATCAAATTCAATTTCCACAGACGATAATTGATTTATGATAGTATTGAAATCATTCAAGTGTTGTACAACAGACGAACCTTCCGTCATCTTCAAATTGAATAACTTCTTCATCAGATATACCTTGTTATTCGCTGAT